AAACAAAACGTAAACAAAAACTTGAATTTGCGCTATATGTCTGTTCATGCGTAATTCGCCTCTTTCATATTACGTGCACCCACACTTATTATATATAATTTTATTCAGGGGAAACAGGGCTTTCATTTAACATCAAATATTTAGGTATGAAACATAATTTAATATGAATAAAATATTAAAAATAGGAGAAAATAAGAATTTAAAAAAAAAAATGTTTAGTTCTACGTGACATTCTAACTGTGAATGTCATAATACTGTTTGCTTTAACTGCAAAAAAAATACACATATTTGTATTCAGCGATGTCTCACGTGTAAAACAGTACCCACTATGTACCGGTTTTATGGTGTTTTGGGAAGTTACAGGGTCAAATATAGCACGTTACATTTTTCAGTTTCTTCACATTGAAATTCACCAGATTGGTTATGTTGTCTTTGAGACCGTATGGTAGCCCAGGAATGAGAATAACCCCCATGATGGCATTTCATTTGCAAATGTAGACAACCCCAGGTATTGCAAATGGGGTATGTCCAGTCTTTTTTAGTAGCCACTTGGTCACAAACTGGTTTTAACATTTATTATTTTTTTTACAAAAGCAGGGGGAGTACCTGTCATTACACCTGTCTCTCACTGTTAAAATACACCTATCATTAAAATTATGTACTGATTATTTCTTTGTGGACAAACGTTCAAAATCATCAGTGAATTTAATACTTTTTTTCCCACACTGTATGTATATATATATATATATAATCTCCCTATGTATATTGTATATATTGCCACATTGCCATGACTTTAGCCATACCATATCACCCTCACATTACAGGCATGTTGCCACTTTGGACACCCCAAATACATGTGCACACATATAAACACTGATACACGCTCGCATATATACACATATGTCTGACATTGAGTATTATGGTGCATCTGTGAATGTCTATCTGTGTGTATGTGTATCAATGACTGTGCATTCAATGCATATCTTTGTCTGTGTGTGTCTGTGAATGTGTGGAGGGAGCTGCCTGCAGTCTGTTGTGTGTATGAGAGCTGCTTGTGTTCTTGCTGTACTCATTGCTGTGGGCGATAGGGCTGTGTTGTATGTGTGAGGGATGCAAATATTTCCCTGGGGGCCCCCATGTGTCTCATTCAGCCACTCTGTGGGTCTCATTCCTCCCCCCAGCCCATCGATGTGTCTCATTCCCTCCCCCAGTCCCTCAGTGTGTCTCATTCACTCCAGTGGGCCCAGTCTCTCTACCGACCCCTGCGACTGCGGTAGGTATGCCACTGGTATGAGGGTTACTGTCTGTGTGGTGGTTCCTGTGTGTCTATTAGGGTGACTGTAGCAGGGTTGTTATGGCATAATGAGTGCGAAAGGGTGACTGCAACAGAGTTAGTGTGACAGGGTGACTTTGGCAATGCGACTGTGTCTACAGGGAAGGGGGGGCGGGGTGATGTGAAGATCTCACTTTTTTATCTGGTCGAGCAACCATGTTGGCTCAGATTCTATTGTTATTATTAGCATATATTTAGCACCAACATTCTGCAGTGCTTTACAATTATAGAAATTGGGTATTTGAGTGTGAAGAAGGCCCTCCTCAAATAAGCTTACAATCTATGATTGTAGACGGATATATATCAGACATATATGGTTAGGTGTCTTCCCAAGGACACTTACTGCTGCTGCAGCTGCAAAAGTGAAATTTTCTCCAAAAAATCAGTGTGCTTTATTTTAAAAAGCATTATGATCCATTAAACATAACGATCTTTTAGAAAATGAGAAGTGAAAATTTCATGAAAATTGCCTTTTAAGATATTAAAACACTAACATTAACAAAAAAGGTGACATGTATCCTGGAGTTACTACAAGCAACTACCGTTACACAATGGCCCTTTGCCTGCATGATCGCTCTACAGCAAATACAGTGATCATGGGGCAGGGATTGGACTGTCCTGTAGTTTCAGGGAACTTCTCCCTAGTAGCTGCCAAATAATCAGGACCCCAAAACAGAGTGACCCATTGCCACAGTGGAGCAGCTCTCTGTGGTTGCCAGGTATGACCTGTTTTTGCCATTATTGGAGCCCAAAACATGGACCTGTTCCAGCAAAAACAGGGCAGTTGTCAATGTTCAGAGCCTGTTTTGTGTATTCTCTTTGCAAATAAAAAGATATTCATAAAATAGCTTACTATCTCAAAACTCTTTGTCTTTATCACAGGTAGCTATAAACCAGCAGGTAACTCTGCATCTGTTGAGACAATTATCATTTATAATGCCTTAGCAGCACTGTACAGTAGGTTTAAATGTAATTTGCCTGATGATCAGAAAAGATATTCTAAAGTATATTTTCTTTTACCTGCGATTAACTGGACATTTAGTGTACAATAAATACAGTTAAGCTATATGTTTCTAAAATGACTTTATTTACACAATTCTATGGCACATCTCTGAAATGCTAATGTAATGCTAACAGCCCACTCACTCCTTACCACTCCTTGACTGCAGGAATCGTACAACTCATTGAAATGTCCTTCACTGCTTGAAAGGAAATGGTAGTTGACATTTTCAGCACACTGGACAGAGGGTCCTGGTAGAGAAATTTGTTTTTCAAGTGGCTGGTAATTATTCCTGTTATATAAATGTGGGTGAGTGAGTTTTTATAGACTAAAATGTGTTTTGAAAAGTAAATGAAAGTAAAAATATTCATATACCATTATGGGAGTAAAGGGGTGAAACCAGTACCCCCTTGAATTTGGCACAAAATCCTAACATGCTCCGAATTCATCCACAACCTCTTTTCAATCTAAGTTCTTAACACTTCTCCCTCAATTTGACCATGACTGCTTAATAATCATGGTGACTAGAACACAGTCTTAGACGCAAGCATTGACAGATCGCATAGATGGAGACTACTGTTTTGGACAATAAAATTGGTCTCTTGACTGTGAGTCTCATTCTGGTGGTCTTCATTAGTCACCATGTATATCTCATGAAACAGAAATAGACTGCAGGTATTATTCTCAGGTGCACAAACCTCGATATGTTCTTAGTTTTTTACATAAGTTCTGTCCTACCTTCACAGAATCCATCACCATCTCTTACCATGCACTCATCACCTTAACCTTCCACTCTCTACCTCCTCAACTTTACACACCACACTGAATATCTCCCTCACGTTTGACACTAAACCTATTCTTCTAAGCCCCCTTCATTATCACAGGGGCACACTTTCTTGAGGATACTTTGCCTCATGCAGATGAAACAAAACTGCTGTGGGAGACCTCCAAAACAGTGTTAATTCTCTTTTCCGTTGCTTCCCACTGTAAAAAAAAATGGTGTTTAGATATGTTAATCCTTGAAAATATCTTAAAAGAGCTAATTGTTCCCCTTTGGTGAAATTCCCAAAAGACTATTGGCCCATATGGCTAATCGTTCGTCTAGTGTAAAACATATTGCCTCTATCACCATATTCTCTGGCACCAAAATAACTGCTCATACCCACATAAATTGATGATTTTAAGAGCATTCTAAATCCCTCTACACCTCTCAATCAGATGACCACTTTCAAGGCTTTGTTCATCTTGCACATAGATGAGGAGTTTTTAACGCTTTCCTTCGTGTTGGGAAAGCAACGGGCCCCAATGGCTTCACTGCTGATTTTATAAAAATGTTGATGCCACATCTTTGCAATGTTTTAACCCCACTATTCATTATGATTATGATTTACCTCTAATGAGATTAAATAATTGATATTGATATCTTGATATGGGCCATTAGGTATTGCCTAACTAAAAAAAAAAAATGCCATTACTTCAAAACAGGCGTAATTAAATTTGACTTAAGTCCAACCACAAGTATGCTGTAAGCGATGCCTGTGATAGCTGTAATTTAATTCTAAGGTGACAGATATAACAAAATTCTGTAAAGTGGCCATTCCGATGTAATGGAATGTCAATTTAGAACTTTTGACATTCAAGTTAGAGATTGCTTCCTGCTTGCTTCAATTGTATAATTGTTGGTTATGTATAGCCAGGTATACTTTGCATGCTAGGTATACATCTGACATGGTAATTGTTGAAATTCAATCATTTAAATTTAATTTGTAAAAGAGTTTTATTTCTCACTAAGAGGTCAAACTCAATATTTTGCTGTAATCTGTGTCAATGTTGGATTTTCACCGTGCTGCTCCCCCGACCTGTAAGAGGACATTGAAGAAAGTCTATTAATACTATTTACATAGCGCCAAGATATTCCGCAGCGTAGAGAGACAGGAGGTGAAGAAAGCCTCTTTCAAGCAAGCTACATACAATACAAAAATAATGTCTAAAACAATCAGAATACATCGTTGTCAGTGTTGTACATTTATTGTTTTCTTGTAATACTTGAAGATGGAAAGCATGTTATTATGTGAAAAACATAAGTACTGAAGGATTTTCATGGACTATTTGACCAAATCGATCAGTCATATCTCAAGACTTCAATTCCAGAGAACCTGCATTGGACGAAAATTTATAAATTTTTAATAGTTCTGTACATATATACGTGCTTTTTTTGTAGTAGTATTTGTTTATGTATAGCCACAGCATATTGACTATATCGTTGTCTGAAAGCAAGAAGGACCAAAAGGTAATATATGTGGTAGCTGAAAGGAAATAAAGACTAGTTTGTGATTATCTTGACATTATACTACAGATGGCTTTCTAATTGGTGTTTAGTTTCAATATATAAAATAGAACGTTCAATTAAAAACCTTTGCATATTAGGTACCATATCACATGCAAAGTCTATGCTATATATTAGCGTAGCTGCACTTAAAACATGTCCTACTGACCTTAGTCAGACCTTTTTAACTAATACCATTAAATGATACCATTAATCTTAATGTGTTATGATAATACTGACTGGACTGGTTATGATCTTAAATGGTTTACTCACCATTTAGCAGAGATGATTGGTCCCCGGCTGCCCCCACTGTTGATATGGCAAGGTCAGATTGATGTTCTATACACCATTCCAGGGGAATTAGGCAATGATAGGCTAAGGGCATTAACTAATTACTTTTATTATATATCTTTTTCAGCATTCCCTGGTATGAATTGATGTGAGGCACAACATCACTCTTCCTTCACAAGATCATCTTGGGGAGCTGTAGGCTGCCAGAGACAGAGTATATCTGTTGGCATCAGTTTAAGATTAATGTTGGACTCGGCCCATGTGGTCTTCAGGCACCATAATACCTTTAATCAGTTGAAGAAGTTATAGAGCCTATGGTGTCCCTTTAAAGGAAAAATGCGAAGAAACACCCACAAACAACATGAATTCATAAAATGACAATAAATAATTACTAAAGGAAGAGAAACAATAAATAACAACCACATAGTATAAACAGCACAATCACATTATATGAAATTTTATTAGTAAAATCGCTGTATTTTCAAATATTGTTGCAGCAGGAGAAAATATGAAGCAGTAACTCTAGGAAGAAAACAATCAGGCTCACAAGATACAATTTATCCAATTTTGGCATGGTCTAATTAATTCTTGGGTTGAACTTGTTGTACAGGTGCATAGATTGTTACATTGTCTGCTTTTGGACTGTGAGCAGACATTGTCTTCTTCCTCGGTTTTTCAACACAGCCAGTTTTGCCGAGAACAGTAGGAGAAGAATACAAGAATAGGCATCTGTCTATAGCACATTGAGCAATCGAGTTGTCATTATAAGCCCTGATTAGAAAGTGCCCCACAAAGCCAATTTCTATGTCTCCATAGGAATTGTTCTCAATTAGAAGATTTTAATACACAAGCAAATTTTTTAAGAGATTAATTTATTGAAAAAAACTATTCACCAACCCATCTCAACACCACCATAAATGGTATTAGGAAGAAAGAAAGAACAGATCTCCTGACATACAAAAACAAACCAACCACTAATGCCATGCCCCTTCCGGTAATTTTTAATTTTAACAACAAAAGTGGTCATATAAAGAAAATAATTAAAAAGCATATGCATTTACTAAAACACGATGAAGTACTAAAAAACATTATACCGGATAGACCGAAGATTGTTTTTAGAGGTGCTCCTAGTTTTAGGCCTATTTTAACCACCAATTTTACTAAAGAGACTAAACTTAACACCACCTCTTTTATTTCCAATGCCAGTGGATTTTACAAATGTAAGCGATGTATTGTTTGCAAAAACACAGCCCCCTCTGTTCCATCAAAAACACTCTATTTAAATCAAATATAACTAATAAAACTTATAAAATTAAGGATTTTATCAGCTGCGACACTAAAAATTTAATCTACTTACTGGAGTGCCCGTGTGGCCTCCAGTATGTAGGTATGACCACAAGAAACCTCAAAACTAGACTGAGTGAACATTGTAGAAACATTAAAAACTGATATTTAAATCAATCAGTCTCCAAACATTTTTGCATTCATAATAATGACACAAAACGACTTAAATGCATAGGTATCAAAAAATGTGTGATTCCATGGAGAGGTGAAAATATCAAGAACATTCTAGGCAAGGTTGAAATGGAATGGGTATTTAATTTAAAAATATTAACCCCCTCTGGTCTGAATGTGGATTTCCATCTGTTTAATTTTATTTAATTATGTGTACTACGTTATATGTATATATCATCTTTTATATAATACCCATGCATTACCTACCCATGTTGGTCAGAGTATCTATTGTCATGCTTTATTACTAAGATTTTAATAATATTTCATGTTTTTAGTTGAAGCACCACTTTTATCAGCACTTCCTTGAGAATATTTTGTTGTTATCTTAGGGCTGTTCTAATACATAGTTGTTTTACCTGCGGCATTATGATTAAGAACACCCCTACTATAACCACTTCCTCTCAGTTCTTATGACACTTTTAATTGTTTAATCTTATACAAAACCTTTTAAATGTCCTCTTTGTTATTTACCTAATAACTTATTCAGCTATTTTTACCTTATTCATTATTATTACTTTTAGTTTACATTACTCATTATTATGTACAGCAATTTTTAACAAACATTAGGGATGTTCCCCCCCAAACATGGCCACTAAGTTTACTCCCCATGTATATGGTATTTGTCAATATTATTTTCCCCAACCAAGATGGCCGCCGTGATTTATTTTATTTTACATTATTACTTCTTTTTTTTCCCCTATCAAACTGTTGTTTTTCGCTTGCCTACCACCTGCATTCCATCTTCCCTATCTTACTTAATTTCGAGGTCGGCAAATGACGATTTTTTTGCTGACCTCGTAATTACTTCACTGGGAACTACATTTCCCATTACACCTAGCGGCTGGTAAATAAAGCTGTGCATGTTACGTGCGTCACGTGCTCCGGCTTCAAATAGCCGAAACTACTCACTACTAATATCTATTAGTATGTACCACTGTTTGCCTTATTTATAATTTATACAATAATGATGTATGCTGATTGGAGGACAGCCTATGATGTAGTTTTGGTGCCAATTTTAAACTATTTTCCCCCCTACTAGCCAGGTTGTATGTTTTTTTTTTTATACCATTTGAGAAAGCCTATATTGGTGAAACGCGTAGTTTCTATATTTTTTTATATTGTGTATTTTAGATCATTAAATGTTTTTTGGTAACTTTGCTGTGCCAAGCCTCTTTTGATTGTATTTTTATGCACTTTTAGTATTCTTACTCTTCCTGGCTTTTTATTGTTCCTGTATTTAAAGATTCTATTAATAGAGCAGTGCTTCTGCTCTAAGCTTGTAAGTATTATTTTATTTACTTTTACATGTTTTTATCATAATTGAGAGCACAATTATTGCCTTTTTTAATTTCCCCATGGAGCCTTGGATGACCAGAGTGTTTTTGATACAGACACTTCTCTGCTTTGGACATAAGCTCTTGCAAGTTCTTGACATTTTGATGTGTGGCATCTCATAGGGAAACATGGGTGACATACTGTCCACATTTAGAGTCCTTCTGCAAGTGGACAGATTAACCATTGTTCTTGCTGTCACATGTTTTTACCTGTAAGTTTTGAAGGAATGCAGGAGAATAGGTGAAGTTAAGAGGGGTTTATTGCCGTATTTTTCTTTGCGGTTAAACTGTTATCAGCTGATTTGGAGTAATATTTGCAATGTTTTTGTCATTTCTCAACAATTCCCAGTTTGGTGAATAAACAGGGTGAACACACTAGATATCGTTACCTACATTTGGTAAGGGTATTTGATACAGCTCACAATAAATTAAATAAACTGACAACCTCAGGCTTCCATTGTTAGATATCAGACAAACCCAATACAGTATATATGTATGTGTCACCAAAGCTGGGGTCATTCACTAATACCAAATTAGGATCAACTGAAAAACAAAATTTCAATAAAAATGATCTAGACATTTTGAATTTGACATTTTAACAGCAACCTTTTTGTGCAGACAGCTCCTGTGACGCTAATCACTTATTAAATGCGTCAGCAATACCATTCCAAAGGCTTATGTTTATCCAAAGTGCCACCTTCTTTTACCTCAGTATTTGCAAATAACCATCTTTATTTTTGTATTGTATGTTTAACAAGGACAGCATTTATACGTGTTGCAGTTTCCTAGTGTGCTCTGCAGGTGGTGCTTTATACACACAAAAAATAATGATCTTATATAAAGATGTTATTATGACAAAGTCTTCTTAATTACTCTTAGTAAACATATAAATATCAAAACCTTTACAGTTAAATACTAGTAAAGGGTGATTTCCTTTCAGAGATAAGGTAGCGTTTTTTACATTTTGTTTCTTTTATTTTCTTTTTATATCTACTTGTTTTCATTCGTCCATCGGGATTTAGCACGACTGAAATTTGTTGTATTTAGTGAATAAAGTTCAGGCCAAAACTTGTTAATGTGATTGATCAATCAAAGTTGTTTACTCAGACAGAAGTTGTGGTAAAATGGCTATAGAACCATTCTAGACCAAATTATTAACTGTGGAAAAGCAGCGAATTGAAAAATTTATCCGATTTGGCTATTTTGACCTAAAATTTGCAATTCCATTGTCATTTCTCCATAATTCTCAGTTTAGTGACTTAATTCCTCTAATCCTGTTTTAACTTGCAAATGGCTCACAAATATATAGCTTTGCAGGTTTTAAAAAAAGAAAAGTTTGACCACTGTGACGGTCCACTTGGCACTCCGACTGGGTACCTCCATCAACTGCTGCTTCCTAGTACTTGTGAGTACCATAAGCACTGCACTGGAACACCATAAGCACCATAAACCCCACGAACTGCTGCAGCTTGGTTGGGGTCTCGCCGTCGACCCAAGACCAGGATCCAGCTTCCAGTAGGTAGACCTTTCCTAGTCCAGAGAGCATAGCAGGAACAGCTCTTACTAGAGCTTATTGATTATACTCAGGGGAGTAGAGTGATTATAGCAATCCCCAGAGTGAATGTAGTTCTCCAATCCCCCAAACATGAGCCTAGACTTCATGAAGGGTAAAACGAGTGTGTTTAATGGAAGCCACAGCTGGCCCAAGCAAGGTATACACCCACATGGACCTTGTAGGGGACAGGGACACAAAGCTTACAAACCAATCAGAACAGTAATTAAATGTGACTGACACTCCCACACACAGCACACAATCCCTCCCCTCTGCATGGGAGATAATTGAATAAAGTACAGTATGTAACTCAATTATCTCCAGGCAGAAAAACCACATATTTTACAAATTCTCATAAGTACCCCAAAACACAACACACCCCCTGATAGCCCTGATCTGGGTGAACAACATATCCAAAAATAACCCAGATTAGAGCAGGGGTTCAGGAAATTCCTGGAAGTCTCTTTTTGACCAACTGCACGCATGGTTTCATGCCCTAAACAGTTGAATTACCGAACATAGCAATTCGGGGACAATGCCATTATGTTTCTTTTTACCGAACATCTTTTGACTCCCGTTCGAATAGCTGAACCTCCATGGAAGGTAAAAGTTTAGCCGTGTTCATGCCATTGGCTGTCTGATTTGAGTTCCATGCACTCAATGACCAAACACCGCTGGATGCGTTCGACTAAACAAGATGGCCGCCGCCATGTGTTCGAATGGCACTTCGGATGGCTTTGGAAGTTTGGGAGTTCGAAGTGCCACTTCGAAAGTTTGAAGTGTGGCCATACAAGCTTAAAAAGGGCACACACAGTGGTTCTAACCAGGATTTCACACAGGGGCCATAGTCCCAGGGTAGGAGGCTGGCAAACAGGCCCCTCCAAAAACTCGTTGCAAACTCACAGAAAAAGGGGAGTTTGTCACAACCACTGATGATAATAATGAAGGTGCACTCACTATGCCATATATGTATTACACCAGAATGTAACCCTTGCAGGAACGTTTAGGAATAAATATTTGGTACTTCCCAACAAAACTGTATCTCTAACACTAAGAAACCTTTATTTCACTTACCTCTTTCCAGTGCCGAGGTCCCTCAGTGCTGGCTCTGTCTCCTCCAACATCACAGCAATGGGGTAACGTGCATTAGAGCTTCCCCATGGGAAATTATTGAATCAATGCTTTCTTATGGGGATGTTCAAGAAGCTGGACATCCTCATGTTTCATTGAGATAAACACTATAAAGCACCAGGAAGCCCCTTTAGTGGCTGTCTGGAATATAGCCACTTGAGGTGGAGTTAACCTGCAATGTAATTATTGCAGTTTCTCAGAAACTGGAATGTTTTACATTGCAAGGTTAAAGGAACAGCGACACTGCACCCAGACCACTTCAATGAGATGTCCCTTTAATGGCTCTCTTAGCAGTAATATATTAACAGTGGAGCTGGAGAGAAAGAATTGTACTGACCCTTTTAATAGACGACCTCTTTCCTTGTATTAGGTACACACAGGCACAAAAATCACATGTGACTCCACTAGCTTTAGAATCCTCTGTACAGCTTAAAAATTGTCCACACAAATTATACTACCAGTTCAGCTATTTTTGCCCTAAATTTAAAGTCCATCAAGTTCAACGGTCCATAAATCTGTTTCTGTGGTTGATCCAAAAGGAATTCTGATTTCCATGATTAGAGAAACCCACAGGGAATCGCACATTTTATGACAACATGAGAAAATTGAAACATGCTTCATTCAATTTAGCTATTTTTTTTCATTTTAGACAATATTTGCCTTAAAAGTCTACTTTGTGGCGCTTCCAGTTCCTTAAAGGGACACTATAGTCACCAGAACAACTACAGCTTATTGCATTTGTTCTGGTGAGTAGAATCATTACCTTCAGGCTTTTTTGCTGTAAACACTGTCTTTTCAGAGAAAATGCAATGTTTACATTATATCCTAGGGATATCATAACTCCACTGGTCACTCCTCAGATGGCTGCAAGAGGTGGTTCCTGGGGTTGTGGTGCAGAGTAAGCAGCACTGCCATTCAGTGTCTCCACCCTCTGCATGCAGACACTGAACTTTCCTCATAAAGATGCTCCTTGATGAGGAGATGCTGATTGGCCAGGGCTGTGTTTGACTTGTGTTGGCTCTGCCCCTGATCTGCCTCCTTGATAGTCTCAGCCAATCCTATGGGGAAGCATTGTGATTGGCTCAGATCACCACTTCTGATGAGGTCAGCAGACAGAGGCAGTTCACAGGCAAACAGGGGCAAAGGTAGCAGCTGCAGACTTGAAAACAAGTAATTTTTTTACTATATTTAGGGTGACAAGAGGGGACCGGGGGGCTAGATGGTGGTTTTAACACTATAGGGTCAGAAATATATGTTTGTGTTCCTGACCCTATAGTGCTCCTTTAAAGTCCCTTAAAGTGCACCTGTCAAGCAAAATCCCAATTTATAGAAAATAAAATGTAATCTCTATGTTGTGCTAGGAAATGTTCTCAGAACACATAATCAAAATGAATTATATTCATTTTTGTAGGTTCAAACTCTTGGCAGTGTGTCACCATATTAAGAAAACACTCTGCTGAGAAATATCATGGGAGTTTTTTTTATTAGTCGATTATTTCTGACATGAAAAATACATAGTAGAATATTTCCGTATCCAACTTTTCAGATTTCTCTATAGATTCACTAATTGATGAAAAAGTCCATCCTTAGTCCTATAAAGACTATGAATTAATTATCTTATTAGACTTTAAATTGGAGAAAATGTACAAATGTAGGAAACAAGATGCCACTCTCTCAATAGTTGACTTACATTATATGACACCATTATTTCGGATTATAGATTAGTAGTGATGTCCCGAACGGTTCGCCGAACGGTTCGCGAACGGTTCGCGAACGGTTCGCCACAAACGGTTCGCGAACGGTTCGCCACGAACGGTTCACCAACGAGTGACCCTGTGGACAGCATCCATTTTACATTCATTGTGAAGCTGCATTCTTAGTGAGCTGTCCAGGAGGTGGGAGGGTCTGGGAGGGAGTGTCTGCTGCTGATTGGCTGGAATGTGTCTGCTGACTGTGAGGTACAGGGTCAAAGTTTACTCAATGATGAGTCCGTGGCAAACCGTTCATGGCGAACCGTTCGGCGAACCGTTCGGGACATCACTTTAGATTAGACTAATTGCTAGTAAAGACATGTTTACCACCTTTGATATGGCAGTAAGATCAGGACATAATCTTGATAAAGAGAATGGCAAAAATCTCATCATTCATTTTTTGGGTTAAACTTTGTAAAATTACCACCCCCATCTGTTGTGCCTCTAAAGCAACCCTTGATGCCACCACCCTGCCATTACATTTTTGTTATACATAATCTTCATACTTCCTTCTTTCACATTTATCTAATGCATAAGAAATCTATTTAATATGCAGAGATATCCCGAGGCAAAACAACAGCCTTGGCATCTTGTCTTTCATCCTAAATTAACTTTTATTTTCAAAGCAAGGAGGAAAAAAATAATAATTGAAATTTACAGTATGTACTTCCAACTTAGAAGTTATTGAAAACACAATTAAAATTATGATAATAAGAAAAATATATAAAGCGTAGAATGTTTACTAAGCACATTAAAAAAAATAAAACCTGACATTTCAAGCTTTTATCTTGGCAAACCGCCTTGTAGCATTAGAGAGGATAATCTTTATTGATTTGGCTTGCTATAAGATGTAAAGTACCATCATTTCTTCTAAAAGCATATTTTAGTTATATTGTATATGTAGCCTATCCCACTTACACAAGCTAATTGAGAGGGGGATGCTTTTGTACAAAATAGAACGTCTCATAAAGAGGGTGTCCTTGCAATATGACAGCTCATAACACAAAACAAAAATTTAATTAAAAATAATAATAATATATATATATATATAAATATAACCTTTAATCTCTCTGGTGCGGCACTGAAAAGGTTAATTCTTCTGGCACTGCTCGCCTAGTAAGACGTAATGTCTGCTGTCATTAGGCAAAGCTCTTCTGCCAATAAAAAGGCTATTCCAGAGATCGTAACCGCGGCACCATTATGGAAGACCAAATAGCACTGAGGTTTCTTTGGTTTCATATGAAGTGCTCCCACTTTGACTGGAGCCTTTGCTAAGTGGCATTACAGCAAAATTACACAAGTTAGAAAAATAGGAATTATGGTGCAAGTTTGCCGCAATGCCATAGAACAGTCTATCTAGCTTTGGCTGAAAGTGTAGCACGTTGACTCTCTTGCTATTTGTAGATGTTCTTTTCCGTAACAGGATCTTTGAATTTTTTAATCTTTAAGAATTCTTTACTCGCTTTGATTTTTCTTTTATAGCTTAATGCAATCCTTGGCCTTTTCTTATAAAATAATATTAATTCAATAAAGAGAGCATTCGAGAGAGCAAGGTTTTGATTCTGATCCTCTGGAACAATGGTGTTGTTTTTATTTATTTGTACTTATATAACGCGATTCATCATAAGCCTTCCTAGTGTGACACTTAAACAGTGCTACACAAAAGTATTTCTTCATCTGCCCTCACAGGTACCTTCATTCAACTTTAGTGTAGATATACAATACCGTCTGCTCTAGTCTGTCTCTATTAAAGCAGGAGCAAAACTACAGGGGTTGTTCTAAAGCGAAAGATAAAACCCAGATTCCTAGCCTGAAACTGTCATCAAAACAAAACACTAAGCCCTCAATGAACACTATCCTAGCAACCTACCTTTCTACCATACCCTTACCTTTTGTGCCACTTTACCCCACTCCCTCTAGCATGTAAGCTCATTGAGCAGGGCCCTCAATCCCTCACTTCCTGTGTGCCCAACTCGTCTGGTTACAAATACGTATCTGTTAATCCACCCATTGTACAGTGCTACAGAACTTGTTGGCGCTTTATAAATAATAATAATAATAGAATTGTCAGAACTTTATTTGTAGACCATTATATTCATCAATTGCCATTAGAGTAATCAATTGCCATTGTATCCCATTGATATTTCTAAATATGTAATCGTAGCTTTATTAAAAAACTGCAATGCTTAATCATTATCCGAGACGTTATATAGGTTTAAATAAGAGACATGCTCCTGTAGAACAAAATATCTCAAACTTGCGATGTCCTTGCAATCTGATAGTTCATAAAGTAAAATAAAAAATGTAACATTTCCAGCCTTTGTGTAGATATATAAGTATGAACCCATTCTTGCTGGTGCAAGGATTTTTAGCTACACAGGCGAAAATGCATTTTGCCGCCCTCCTCGGCCCCATTGTAAAAAAAAATTAAATGCATCTTCACCTGTGTGTCTTTTTGTAACCCCCCCTTTTTGAATTTCTTGCCTCTTTTTTGCTCTAGTGTGTTTTATTCCCCCTTTAGTGTGTCTTACAACCCCCTTTGTATGTCTCTTACATCCTCCTAGCCCCTTTGTGTGTATCTTACCTTCAGCCCCTTTCCATGTCTCCTTCTCCACCACAGACGCTCTGTGTGGCTCTTTTTCCCCTCAGTCCATTTTGTGTGTCCCTCCCCTCCAGATCCATTTGTGTGTCTTTCCTCCCAAGCCACAGGCACACAGGCATAATTTTTCAGGTACACAGTCATAAAAGGCACACAATCAAAGTCATATAGGTACAGTTTCATACAAACACAGACATGATTACACAGAGACATACAGGCAGAGACATACACACATACAGAGACATACACACATACAGGCATACAGAGACATACAGGCATATAGAGACATGCAGGCATACAGAGACATACATACATACAGAGACATACATGCATAAAGAGGCATACCGTCATACAGGCACATATATACATACAGGCATACAGAGACATACAAACACACAGAAACATACATACAGACACATACATACAAACACATACAGGCATACAGAGACACAAACATACCTACATATGTACATACATACAGAGACACACAGGCATACAGAAACATACATACAGAAACATATAGGCATACAGAAACATACATACAAATACATACAGAAACATACATACAGAGACTAAAAGGCATACAGAGACATACATGCATGCAGAAACATACATACAGAAACATACATATATACAGCTACATACATGCATACAGAGGTATACATACAGGCATACAGATAGATACATACATACATACATACATACAGTTACATACATGCATGCAGAGACATACATACCTGCATGCATGCAGAGACATACATACATAAGCAGTCAGTCACAATTACATATTTACATCTGGTCCCTAGGGTGCATGTTGTTCGGCTCTGTGGAGTCTCGTCCTGCAGCCCAGCCCCATCACTGCGTGCCAGCCGCGCTGTGTGGCACACAGGGAGCAGTTATATGATGTAATTCATATTCCCACTCCCTCCACACAGCCTGCAGCAGACACCAGGGTAAAAGGCTGGGCTCTGCGGGCGGAAAGATCTGGGCTGCGCTCGGCCACTCTTCAAGAACTAACTGGCTGGAGAGGAGCCCATCTAGTCTTCCCAATATCTTGACCTTGACGAAAACAACGCACATGTACTAATTGTACATAAGCAAGACAAAATAAACACACAGAAGTTTTTGAAGCCGTTAAACTATAATAAAGTTATTCTAATATTTTTAACAATCCATGTCAGTTGCCTCTTCCTGCTGCCTACTAAATGTTTGTGTGGATTCAACTCTGCAATACAGCAGGTTTTTAAAATGTTAAACACTGATTTTGGTGGAGGTACCAATACATTTAAGCTTCATTTTGTCGATAGTTAACATTTTTAATCGTGTGAGTGGTTGTGCAGGCAGGGTCCCAGTGCACCGCTTTGCCCTGGGGCCTAAAATTCTGTTAAGACAACCTTGATAAACAGGAATTTATTTTACAAACATCTATGATACCAACATTAGTCAGTACTGCCTTAAATGGTGGCCTCAGTATAACAGCCATTATTTGTCTGGTTAACATAAATGGACTTTTGCAACTCTGATATTTTTACATTTTGGTTATTTATACCGATGTTTATGTTTCCTTTATTGAAGAAACATTTTAATCAAGGAAAGAGTGTCATTTAAAAATAGCTGCAATTATACTTGGCACTGTACCAAATGCCATGCTTGTTTCTCATGCACATTTTTTACCTGCTTGTTTCACATTGAACCTATAATAAATCCTATACTAAATATAAAACACTGCCACAGACTTACGAAATATATTTTTGTAAATCGTGTGTTTTTGACTGTGATTGATGGGACGGGATTTATGGGCTAATTAACCCTGTACATTTGATTTCCCTATAGAAGTTATTGTGCTGTTGTTAGCAAATGGGCCATAAGTATTGGCATAATAAAAAGGGATCCAGGAGAGTACAGCTGTGACTGATTTCTAAATCCCTGGGCGCCTAGTTGCACTGCAATCAATCCTGCTTCCCCTTTATAACCTTGGGACCTGCACAGTTTACTTGAAACGTATCCAATCAATATTTCCAGGCTGAGCACTGAACTAGGGATGTGCATGGGCCAAAAATTAAGTTTGGTTTGGAAATTCGGGTAAGGAAAAAAATTTGACACTTCTGCAATTTGGCACGTCAGCAATTCGGCTTGGCACTTCTGAAATTTGGAACTTTGGCAATTCAGAACATTTGTAGGGCTGCCTAACCCTACTCGTACCCTTAATCCTACCCATAATCCTAACCACCACAAGAACTTACACATCTGTAGGGCTCCCATTGCCTGTACTGTCACCACAACCATTTACACATCTGTAGGGCTCCCAGTGCCAGGAATTAGCTTATTGGTCAAGATTCCTATCATGATTCACGTAATTTTCTCTCCCTCTCTGGAGGGCAAATGGGGATGGGGGGGGGGGCACAGTATAACATAGGGGGCCTCTGACCCCCCTAGCAATGTTAGTGGTTAAAAGGACTATTCATTCACAGGGCAAAATACTAATTGCATCATTATCAAGCAATGGTAATACCTGCACCTTCAATACGTGGTGCAATAAAGCGAAAGTGTTGTAAAGAAGGATGTAAATAAGTGTAATACTAAAAAGATTGTGTATAATTGTGTATAGGCTACACAATTAATTAGGGGAACTGAAGATTTTGATTTTAATTATGAAGAATGGCTAAAAAACTTGAACTTGTTTAATAAAGAAAAATGTGGACTCACAGGGGATATACTAAAATTATAAAAATACATACAAGACCAGTACAGGCAGCTCTCATAATCTGTTCATTGATAGGACGGTCCAAATGACAAAACATCACCCATTTAAACTTGAAGAGCAAAAATGTTGCCTACAGCAGAGGAATGTGTTATTTACAGTGAGAGAACATTGAAAGAAAGAATTCCACATCAAACTATTTTTCATCAATACTGTTTCAGACCAAAATGTTTTAGTTGTGAATGCAGCACAAATCAATGGTTGTCTATAGACAAGATTTTTTTTTTTATTAGGTAAATGGCTGCGTTTTCACACTTTTTATTTCAACTTCTTTGATTTTGTATAATTAAAGGTTTAAATAACATCTTCCAGTAACATTAAAGTATTATTTCAGACTAATTACCTGAACCTTGCATTGTTCAATGTTGTACAGCAATTGATGTTTCAAAATGTAAGGAAATTGCTTCAATCTGATAGAGCAGATCCGTCATTTATCGTTGTGCAAGAAGGCGTCATGCAAATGAAATGAACAAACAATATAAACTACAAAATTAGACTCCATCGTGGAAGAAACACAGAAACTATTAACTCAAATTACATCACTACTTCAAACTGTTACATTTCTATGGACTTTGTATTCAATATGAAAGCAACACATTTATCAGCATCGAATCTGCTGGAATGCCATGAATGTTACCATGACAACCACAGCAAGGATTTCACTGTACGGGTTTCACTGTAAATTGGTTTATGCAAGCACTGAACTAGCTGATTATATGTCCAACATTATTATTATTATTTATATAGCGCCATGAGATTCCACAATATAGTAATGTCCCCCATTTTTTATTTAATTTTTTTTTAACTATTTCTGGGGTTGTAGATCTAATTTGAGAAGTTAAGACATGCAATTGTAAGTGATTACGTGATCACAAAAATACGTGTAAAAAAAAAAAAGAATCATTATTCAATAATCAACATGTAATGCTTAATAATACACAGTCATTTATAATATAACATTAAACAAAAAAATAGCAACCGAACCAATAGTAAACTGGCATTACTGGTTAGAGAGAGAATAAGAGAATATTTATGGAGATAGTTGTAAGATAATAGATGGTTGTAAGAATGCCTTCTAAGACTGAACACATCAGGCAGATATAGATTAAAAAGATCAACATAAGAAATAAGAGTAAAGAATTTATTAACTAAGACAAAAAAGAGAGAAACAATAAAAGGGTGAGGATGGGCAGTGGGGAAGGGAAGAAAAAGCTAGCAGGAGTGTAATATTTAGTCCTTGGCTGTGTAGATATGGGGGAATAAGTAGACACAGTTTAGTCCTGAAATTGTAGCCATTGAAACCACCATTAAAATCACATTATCACATGCTGCAAGTAATATATTTAATTTTGAGTATTCTATTTAAACACGTTATAGCATTAATATAGAATTACAGAACATATAGAGCATCCATCTACAATCACAATGTAAAAATCTGATGTTTTGTTTCAAATTCCTAATTTGATTCTCTACCAATACCTTTTTTATTGTGTTAAAACATATAGTAGGACAGTTTAAGGACTCAGATGGCGATTGCTGAGTGCTGCATTTTATTTGGCTGAGACTAAACTCTCACTTTGCAAAAGAGTGTCACACAGGTGACGTAAAACGTTCAAACAATTCCAAGACCACCATGTTTTTCCTCCAATAGTTGGACTAAAGGAATACACCTATATTAATATTTCACATATCTATATTTTTTTTCAAATGAGAGCTTAGTTCCCATATCTAGTCTGCCCAATTAGAAAATTGGGCAGACTAGATGGGCGGAATGGTTCTTATCTGCCGTCACATTCTATGTTTCTATGTTTCTATATTATATTGGCAGAGGGAGGAGCGGAGCCCTGATTGCAATAATATGTAGATAAATATTATATTGCAGGACTTTACAATTATAAAACAAGTTTACAATGTAAGAGGATCTGAGGTAGGTGGATATATATTAGAGATTTGCATGGGCAAAAAATTTGGTTTGGTTCAGTTAGGAAATTCGGGTAAGTAAAATCATTTGTCTGCTTCGGCAATTCGGATCAATGGCATTCGGTTCGGCTCGGCACTTTGGAACTGCCGAACGTCGTCACTTCGGAACTTTGACGGTTCGGAACTTGGGCACTTTGGATATTCGTAAGCATCCAAATGTCCAAATGGCTTGAAATTCGTACGAATGTACATACGGAACGAAACAAATCGCACATGTCTAATATATATGATCAGGTTTTTGCCCATGGATACTTACTAGTAAGGTGAACTTTGACCATGGTTCTAACCTGTGTTTCCCAGTTCTAAGACAGTAACATTACCACTTCTCTAATGAGCTAAAATATAACTGCAATCATGTTAAATCTTATCGAAAGTCTACACGGCCTGTTATAGATTGCCAGGCAAAAAATAAAAATTCATTAACCAACTTACCTGTTTTAGCATTTTAAAAGAAATATAGGAGTTAGGTATATACATATATTTGCCATTTTAACAGTCAGCTAATTGGTTATTAGAATAAATAAGCACCCATACATGATTTAATGACACAGACAATATTTCAAAAACCTCCTTGTCACACGAAGTGTTAATGTGAGTTTATTTATGTATTTCTTTTTTTTTTTGGAAACAGTCTGAGTAATTTTCTTTCTCAGAACTGCAGACCTAATGTTTCCAGCATTGCTATCTGGTTAGCATTCTTTGACCATATTGGTATGGAATCGGATTCTGTATAATGCTCTAATAAAGAAGATTAAATATAGTTTATTGACAATATCTTAAATAGAATATCTAATTATTGTCCTATGTCTGAAATCTGAACCTTTATTAACCATTTGATGACTAGTGGGGTGTACTATGCATATTACATTTTTTCTATTGGCACACAGATTGTTACATTTGTTGCGTATTGTATATTGGAATAGCTGCTGGAAAAACTATTGCAGTGATGAGAAATTATTAGTCATATGTTGTTAGGGAAAGAGATAGCGGAAAATCTAATTTCAAATATATATTGCCAAAAAAGGGTCTAGATCCTCATAATTAAAATGTAACATATTTATAGATAACAAATCCTTAAGGATACACTGTAGGTACCCAACCACTTCATCTCATCAAATGGTCTGGGTGCAGTGTCCCTGTCCCCTTTAGTTTTACAATGTAAAACACTGCAGTTTTTGAGAACTGCAATGTTATTGTTGCAGTGTTAAGACTGCCTCTAGTGTCTGACGTTTCCTGGAGTTTTACATAATTTGACTCCATGAAACGATCTGCACGAGGATGTCCAACGTCAGAGAAAACACCATAGGAAAGTAATGCTTTCCTATGGGGAAGGCCTAATGCGCATGCGTCACTGGAAACAGGTAAATGAACATCTTTGTATTCCTAACACTAAAGTGTTCCCTTAAGTTCATATAGTGTAAATTGTGTTCAAATACAATGTAGTGACTTCAAATGACTCCAGGGATGGTTCATGGAATCAGATGTGTGAGGCACCCACCCCTCTGAGACGTGTCATACCACAGCATGTATCACAGCAGTAGCTTCTGGGATTCTAGTGGAAACAATTTTTCCTACTTTGAGCCATGATAGCAAATTGCTCAAGCAACAAATCCAAGGAAAGAACTCTTAATCTCCAGGTTTCCTCACTCGCTTCCCCGCAAATGAGGACCCAAGATGGCATGGACAAGCTGCCATCTTCGTCTTTGTGCTTAGACAAGAGGGATATCACCTCAATTTCTGTAATGTGTCTGGTCTCAGCACTGATTCTTCAGTTCAAAGGATGTTAAGTGACTTAAAGTAAAGGTGGATATCTCTGCACTGGCTTGAGATATCAAGGCCAATATCCAAGCACTAGGAGAGTGCACTGCTCATTTAGAAGTCAAGGCCGAAGAGCTGATCAATGCTCACAATTCACAATTGCCATACAGCACTTTACAGATAAAATAGCGGACCAAGAAGACCACAATTGCTGCTATAATACCTTACTAGCACAGGTGTTGCTACAGGTGGCAAGAGGGGGCAATACCCCCTTGGACTGTGCCTTGCCCTCCCATATGTCCGCATGACGATTTTCATGGCTAGTGGGGAGATCAATGATCTCCTCACCTGCCAGTTTGCCCAGATGCTGTGCAGAGGAGGGATAACATGGTCTGCCTCCTACTTTATTAGAGTGATTACATACAACTTTCTGGTATATTTCTCGGCACTCCAGAAAGAGCTGTCTGCACCCACTGTGGTTGTTTAGAGAAAATGGAGAGATCCAATATTGCTTGAGAGAAAGGGTAGGTAGAGCAAACGTATGCTGTATACCATTGAAAAGTTTATCAGCCACATTCTATCACCTAAAATATTATTAACTATGTATCCATGCAATATTGATGGAATACCTTCAACGACAATAATAATAAAAAAAAATAAATAAAAAAAAAAATACCTGCATGCACAAAAAATAACAGTGGCAAACTACAGGTATAAATGGTAACACTGCTATAGTAACACATGATAATATAGTAACAAAATAAGAATCAATTAGGTGGATTATCTTCCAAGCTTCAATAACTACCATTAAGTTGCAAGGAGATGGAAAATGGAAATGTTCGGAATTGCTTGGTACTGGGAGTGTGAAGTGAGACCTTATCAGTAGAGGACATCTATCTTTCATCTATCTAAACTGTTGGACCGTCCAGAGATGTCACGGGCCAGATAAAGTCTTTGCTTTCATCCAGCAGTGGGAGGCTGAATGTACCATCATATTTTCTGATCAAAACTGGTCCCTATCTATTCATTTTTAATGGGGCTTAACTAAATGCTATAATTACATAGAAGTGCACAGGAAGTTTACCGATGATACTTAATGCCTAGCAGACTTCACAGAATTTAACCATTGGTGCCTTCACATTGTTGGTGATGCTGAGGTCTTGACAGCACAAAGTCACACATCTAATATTAGTGCCCCAGGATTCAACCTCTCACGCATACAGTGGCCCAACTGCTGTCTGCTCACTTGCTTAAAATTGTTATGTCCTCCCTCACTATCTGTTAGTTCTGGAAACAATATATATATATCCATATTTGCAGAAAATAGTAGACAATATTGTTCCTATACTCCTTCACTCAGAGACCGATCTTTGACCAAACTTGGCAGCCACGGCTGGCTTTTCTCATGACTTTATAGGAATAGGTGGGGCAATGTGGGGTGCAAAGGCAGTACTAGAAGTCTAGACACAAACAAGTGTATTTTAGTCACCCAAGACAACTAACTAAAATTTCCTTTAAAAGAATATCCATACGTTGGGGTGGTCTATGGATTGTATTATGACTGCCGTTCGCACAGTTCTACCTTGTACTGGAATGTTACTACTTGTATTGCTGGATGGTACA